CCCCCCCCTCTATCTATCCATCTTCGGTACCTCGAGTCTTGCCTGCCTTGGCCACCTGAGAATTTGACTTGAGGAAGTTCCTGTTCTTGTCCAAGAGAGGCAGCCAGATAGATAGGTTCTGGCAATGTTTCAGTCTTCAATCTACTCTACCTAATTTTAACGCCAGCATTCTTTCCTTCCTTTATCCTCTTGTACAAAACATCTCTTATCAAATGAGTCCAAAAGTGCTCTGACTCAAGGTGTTACCTGTTCTCAACACACACCAAATCTTACCTTTGCACAAGAGTGCTCTTTATAATTGCTGTTTTAGAAAGCTGATGGGGAGATATCAGAGGACTTGTGGGAGGGGTTTCATGATGGATGGCATGCTCTAGTCTACCCATACTCACTTACACTCGGACTCAAATACACCTGAACACTCGTGCACACTCATGAGCTTCAAACTTAGCTCCAAACTCTGCTTGGTGGAATTTGGCAATTTCTTAGGTTTTCTGTATCTTTTTCTGTCCTGGTTTTGCACTATGGAGTCCATACTATTTACTATAAATTTTGTCTTTGCATGAAAACTTTGCTGAAGTTTAAAATAAAAAACAGCTTCCTTTCAAATTCCCTCTTTTTTTGGAGATTCATCAATAAACTTTTCGTCGAAATAGAAGAAAGTCACATGTATGGTTGTGTGTGACAAGTTTATGTTACAAGTGGACTCCGCTGTGCACATGCTGGGACAGTACTCTTTGACTGTAAACTGTAACTTTTACGGTGTTGTGCCCGAATGCTTGTCCTCTACACAAACGTCATGTAATGTTCTTGTTCTGTTCTGTTTATTGTGGTTTTCTCTGTCTGCAGCGCTGCGCGTTCTCAGTTGGCATAAGATTACACACTGTTGTTGACTGCTCTACTCCCCGGTGATAGAGTGAAAGCTTTGCTGAGGTTGTGTGTGCTATGACTGAGTGACTGAGTCTAACTACCACAGGGCTTCATTATAGTTATTATAGAGCTCTTCATCGTATACTTTGCTTTGTTGGTCTGGGTTTCAGTTTCTGCTATATATCTGTTACATATTGCTCAACTTTGATGCATCCATCGTGACTGGAAGGCTAGTTGGTGTTGTTGAGGTTGTATAACTGGTCATATCATGGGATAAAGAGTTGTGTTGTGGTCAGGTTGTGGAAATATTCAATTCAAAGCCGTGAGCATGTTCTGCACTGACTAATGCAAGGCCTGGCACATGTCCTGTCTTTGGTCTACTCAATGCTTTTTTTC